CTCTCATTATGAACTAATTGTTCATAAAACTAAATTGAACCTGTAGTTTCAAATTTAGTACCTTTGAAACCCGAAGTTTTCATTCAAAACATATCACATGAAACCCATAGTTTTCATGCATAAATTAAACCACTATATGTCTATAGAACCTGTATGTTCTACGATATATGTCTATGGCTTACCATATGACTAATCACGTTTTCTCCCTCCGTTTTAGGGACATGTCGAACTTGAACAAGCTCGATTTCTCCGCTCTATAAGTCTCTGGAAGAAACTATCTGAAGTGGGTTGAAGACGTGAAACTCTATCTCATTGCAAAAGGTATTATAGCCACCATCGAGGCCTATCGCCGACAAACCTGTTGACGAAGCTCAGAAGGCTACTGCAATAATCTTCATCCGAAGACATATTCATGTTGCACTGCAGACTGAGTATCTCGCTAAGGAGGACCCACGCACCCTCTGGCTTGCTCTGGCCGACCGTTTCGATCACCAGAAAGACATATACTTGCCTAAAGTAAGACACGACTGGCAGCATCTTCGTTTTCGGGACTTTAAGTCCGTGAATGAATACAATTCTGAAGTTTGTAGAATCTGTTCTCTGTTGAAATTCTGCAAAGTGGAACTAACTGAATCAGATCTCTTGGAGAAGACCTATTCGACCTTCCATGCCACCAATATTGTCCTGCAGCAATAATATAGGGCACAAAAATTCACCAAGTTTTCGGATTTGATCTTTGTTTTACTTCTCGCTGAAAAGCAAAACCAACTTTTGATGAAGAATCATCAAGCTCAACCGACTGGTTCGAATGCCGTGCCTGAAGCACATGCGACCTATTCTAGCAGCCATAAACGATGAAAGAACTGTCATGACCATGACAATGGGCTGCAAGCCCAACCACGGGCCCAAAGTTAACAGAGTGCCGCACCTAAGGGAAGAAATGTGACCCAGCAGCGTCCACCACTCGCCCCTAAGGTTTCAAACTTCAAGAACAAGGGCAAAGCTTTCGTTCAGGCTGCTTCTACTGAACTGGACATGTGCTATCGTTATGGATCAATAGATCATTGGTCACGCGTATGCCGAGCTTCCCCTGAGGCTATTGCCAAATATTATTCTCATCGTGAGTCTAACTTTGCACATGTGGATCATTCGGAAGATGCAACTACATCAATGGAGATATCGGATTTCCAGGAGGCATCAGCACCTATGGATGAATAAATTAGACATGTTTTTAGGGTGTTTAGCCCTAGTGGCCGAACCCACTAGGAGTGGCCGGCCCTACCCCCTATTTTGCTAGGTTTATGGCTTAATTTTGAACAATTTTTCTATGTATTTGGAATAACTTGTTTGGTTTTGATTTGTTTTGAATTATGGATTGTTATTTGAATGGATATTATTTTCTCGAATTGCTTAATTGAATGAATAGACTTATATTTATACATGTGACCAATTCAATCAATTTATTTCTAGGTATGTCTAGTGGGGAAGTTAGTTGTCTGGCAGATAGTGCAACCACGCATACCATCTTGCTTGAACGACACTATTTTAATAACTTAGTACCCAAGAAAGCTCATTTGACAACTCTCTCAGGCCCATCCAACCTAATTGAAGGATACGAAAAGGCACGTATCATGTTGTCTAATGGTACAATTCTGACCATTAAGGAGGCACTCTATTCTCAACGTTCCGGAAGAATGTTGTTGAATTTTAGAGATATTTGAGATAATAAATATCATCTTGAAACCATTGAAGATCATGGTTCTGAATTTCTTTGTATCACTTCGTATGAATATGGCCAGAAGCATATTCACGAGAAGTTGGAACGCTTGCTGAATGGGTTGTACATTACAACCATTCACGGCATAGAAACCTATAATGTGGCCGGCCCTATGCCTGAGTTCCCGGACACTTTGTTGCTTTGGCATGATCATTTGGGACATTCTGGATGTGACATGATGCGCCTATCCTCATATCTTCACACGGGCATAAGTTACATTTCTATATTGGACTCTCACCATGCAAAATGTGTTATTTAGGGAAGTTAAATACACAACCATCATATGCAAAGATTATTCACGACCCCCCTAAATTTCTTCAGAGGATTCAAGGGGATATTTGTGGACCAATCCAACCAACCTGCGAACCATTTAAATATTTTATGGCGTTGGTTGATGCATCGACAAGATGGTAACATGTTTGCTTGTTGTCCACACACAATGTTGTGTTTGCTAAACTCCTAGCTCAAATCATTAAGCTAAGGGCTCACCACCCTGATTATCCGATCAAGTCGATTCGACTGGATAACGCTGGAAAGTTTACCTCACAGACTTTTAACGATTATTGCATGTCAGTAGGAATTAATGTGGAACATCCTGTGCCTCATGTTCACACCCAAAACGGCCTGGCAGAAGCTTTCATAAAGCGCATTCAATTGATAGTTTGGACTTTGGTTATGAGAACCAAATTGCCGGTATCTGCCTGGGGCTATGCAATATTGCACGCAATTATGTTGGTCCGCCTGAGGCCCATCGCTACCCAACCACATTCACCGTTATAGTTGGTCACTGGATACAAGCCTGACGTCTCGCATTTACGGGTGCTTGGGTGCGCCATTTATGTGCCAGTAGCACCGTCGCTACGTACCAAAATGGGTTCTGAGAGAAAAAATGGGAATCTATGTTGGTTATGATTCGACATCAATTGTTCGCTACTTAGAACCCTTGACAGGAGATCTCTTTACCACACATTTTGCGGATTGTCACTTTGATGAGACAGTCTTCCCGTCGTTAGGGGGAGATAAGCGTGCTAACGTTCCTGTAGAACGCCACGAATTGTCGTGGTATGCTCCCACTATGTCTCATTTAGATCCCCACACTGCCCAGTTTGAAACTGAGGTGCGTCGAATTATAAATCTTTAGAGCATTACTCAAAGCATGCCGGATGCTTTTAATGATCTAGCAAATGTGACAAGATCACACATACCCGCTGTAAACACACCTGTAAAGATAGATTTACCCCGGGTACGTCAACACTCGCCTGGGAAGGTTGGACTATCCTCGAAGATGGGAAGGTCGCACCCTCCATGCGACAAGGTACATTGGTTGCTAGCCAATCATTTGCTCTGACCCTGAAACGTGGCAGACCCCTTGGTTCAAAGGATTCACAACCCTGGAAGAGAAAAATGGCACCAACTAGTGAACCTAGTTTGAATCTGACCATCGCTCACTCATCCGTTCCAACGCATGAGGTTATTCTAAATTACGGTGATGCTTCAGATGAAACATGTCGGCCTTCCGAGAATCGCGAGATTTCGGTCCACTACACAGTATTGGATGAGGTTTGGAATAGGAATAAGGTGATCGTCGATGATGCATTTGCATACTCAGTAGCTACCGACATCATGCTCAGCGATGACATTGAACCACGTTCCATTAATGAATGCCGACGTCGAACCGATTGGTCAAACTGAAAATAAGCAATCCAGGTCGAACTCGATTCACTCTCAAAACGTAAGGTATTTGAACCTATCGTTCCTACACCACCAAGCGTGAAGCCTGTTGGCTACAAGTAGGTTTTCGTGAGGAAGCGTAATGAGAAGAATGAAATAGTACGATACAAAGCACGCCTCGTAGCGCAAGGCTTCTCTTAGTGCCAAGGGATTGATTACGTGGAAACGTATTCCCCCGTAATGGATGTTATAACGTTCCGCTACCTAATCAGTGTGGTAGTTTCCGAAAAACTGAATATGTAACTTATGGACGTGGTAACTGCGTATCTCTATAGGGATCTAGATACAGAAATTTATATGAAAGTTCCAGAAGGACTTCCATTGACTAGTTCAAATAATTCTGAACCACGAAACACTCTCTCAATTAGGTTGAGGAGGTCACTCTACGGATTAAAACAATTCGGGCTGATGTGATATAACCGTCTGAGTGAATATTTGACAAGTCAGGGTTATATGAACAATGAACTATGCCCATGCATGTTCATAAAGAAGTCACATTCCAGATTTGCAATCGTTGCATTTTATGTCGATGACATGAACCTCATTGGGATTCCCACAGAGCTTGAGGAAATTGCTACACACTTGAAATCGGAATTTGAGGTAAAAGATCTTGGGAAAACTCGATATTGCCTCGGCCGGGAGATTGAGCATTGTTCGGATGGAATCCTAGTACATCAATCGAACTACACCCAAATGGTGTTGCGACGTTTTAATGAGGATAAAGTGAAGCCTTCGAGTACACCCATGGTCGTTCGAACTCTAGATGCTAAACGAGATCCCTTCCGTCCAAAGGAGGATGAGGAAGAGATATTGGAGCCCGAAGTTCCTTACCTAAGTGCAATTGGGGCTTTATTGTATTTGGCTCAGTGCACTAGACCTAACATCTCATTCGCTGTAAATCTATTGTCTAGATACAGCAATGTGCCGACGTAAATGCATTTTTTGACTGATTGAGAAGAAGAAATAAAATATGGAATTAAATGTTCTAAAACATGCCTTCAGTCTTCCAACAATTCAATTATCCTTGTGAAGTCTCTATTAGTTGATTAAACGACGATCATTGTCATTTTGTTCCTTCATATTTTGAACCAATAATTAAATAGAACCAAAATGGACCAACCCAGTCTTTGGGCCAGGGTTTGGATCAAAATCTTTTAACCTATCCTATTTCAAACAAACCCAGATTGAAATTTCTGCACCAAGTCAATCTTGAACTTAGAACTTAGAAGTAGGTACCACAATATTTGCAGGTTTTTTTTTTTTTTAACAATTTAGATCTTATGATACTCATGAGTTGTTCGATTCATGACCTACTAAAGTAGGAGACATTTGTCACGTGATGTGTGTTATAGGAACGGCAGGTATACGTACTCGGCCGGCTAGACAACTTAGTTATTACTAGAAATGGCATAGTTCATGCCCAAATATATGACAATTTATAATGTTCATAAAATGGAGGAACCAACCGAAAGATTCATGCATGCAGAAAGAGTTCTGAAAATGTGTGCTTCACATTTGAATTAACAAGGAGGTTACTTTGTACAGTTTGTAATTGTGACCTAGCATTGTCAAATATGTCCCCAGAGGCAGCAGCATTTCCAAATATACGTCCAAGGTTCTCCCAGAGGCAGCAGCATTTCCAAATCGGTGGACTTGTACAAATGGAATTCACTCCTTAACCAAGAGAAATTAAACATGATGAATTACTAATTAACCATGATCCCGGCCAGGTTAAGATGCTCATTTGATCCAGCGAGGTTAAGCCAGAAGCCAGAAATTCTTTAGGGTTCTTGAGTTGAGAAGGTAGCCTCCATCTAACCCCTTTTTTTGTACTGCAACACAAGTTCGTTTGCTATTTTCGATCAAGTAGTCCGCTGTGTCTATCGCCTTTACCCCTCGCCCTCCAGGCCACGTATATGATCTGTTTCACACAATATCAGAAATTATAATTAGCGAACAATTACATTGGAAGGAATTAAATTCGATTTTAAATTCAATTTTGTCATCCTCGATCTCTGATCCCTTGGGCTAGCCAAATGACTTGAACTCATGCCACTTTCAATATATCATCGCCTTTTTGCATGAATTTCCGTTTTGTTTTCGTTTCTCATTTTTCTTAACTTTTAATAAAAATCAAATTCAGATAAAAAAAATTAAAAGTGGAACGATATTATGAAAAGTCGAAGTCGAAGATATAGTCTCATGTTATGCATATGTTAATCTTAATTTCTCCACTTAAAAAAAAAAAAAAAAAAAAAAAAAATATATATATATATATATATATATATATATATTTACACACACACACAAACAGAAGTATTGTAACTAGAACATCTACTGAGAAAGAAAACTCACCCTAAAATATCCATCGAAATTTTCCTTCGTTGCCCTATAACTATGATATCAACCCCAAGAACATCGCTTTGATGTAGAATAGTGTTTGCTTTGTCTCTGCCTTCCTCCATTGCCACCCTCTCCACACGCACACGCAGTTTTGGTTGTACACGTTCGCATACATTCTTCATTTCTTCAAGAAAATCCACGTCCTCCTCTAAGGTTCCTTCAAAGGACATTGTAGCGATGGCCGCGGAGGCGATGCTAGGTATTTTGAGTAACGTCGTGAATGTGTTTCGCCAGGTATTTTGGTTCTCAACAAAGAAAAGGATCAATTCATCGTGTTCAAGAACTGCATGAGAAAGCGCATATTGGAGTGCACCCGCTGATTCCCGGGTTGGATCTGCCACCACCATTACTCGCCGCGGAGGTGCAGTTGCTTTACGTTCCATGGCTCGTGTACGGCTGTAATTGATGGGGCAGCCGCCACAACTCCTACCCAAATGTTGCCACAATAAACTCCAAAAGGGGATGCGTAATAGAGGGGTATAGGGGAAGTGACGTATATTTGGAGGGTCTCATTTTTGTGTGTTTATTAAGAAAGATTACTGCATTGACAGCTTTGATTCACAAAGTTTTTTCTTTTTAGGGCAGTGATCCACAAATTAGCTAGTGATTCTTGGGCATGCCATTATTAGGTAAAAATTGCAGACTACTATTCCTTAGGACGCGGTCAAATGTCAGCAAAATATTAGATTTTAACATATCCAAATTCCAAATATATAGGATACGATGAATGGGATATTTGGTGATAAATGGAAGAAAAATACTAGGGAGATCATGTTTTGAAAATATGTTTTGTAGAACACATGATGTGGCGGGCGATAATTAGATATCTTATTCAATGATTTTAAACAATAAATTTAACAATCAATTGCCACATCATATTGTTTACAAAATATGGTTACGATGGTCTCTTGGACTAAGAATCTAAGGACGAAAAAGGATAAAACAATCACAAAGAAATTATATCCAGGATGTCCACAACTGGAACCAAGAAGGACGAATTGCTTCAAACCCTTGGAGTTAGCCTAAAAAAAATTCTTAGTATAATATAGTCACACCTTTGATGGTGTTAATAATTCATCATGTGTTACAATTTGAGTAGACGATATTGTTGACATATTATGAAACTAAGATATAGTATTAATAAATAGATACACATGTTATAACATGAACGAATGATGTTTAAAGTATTGCATGTGAAGGCGCATATTGGAGTGCACCCGCTGATTCCTGGGTTGGATCGATCTGCCACCATCATCACTCGCCATGGAGGTGCAGTTGCTTTACATTCCATGGCTTATGTACAACGGTTATTGACGGAGGCAGATTGTCTGCCCTCCTGTTTGGGTGCCCTTCCCATCCCCTCCTATTTTGTGCGGTCATGATTAAGTCACGTCAATATTTTTTTTATAGAATAATAAGACAAAAAATAAAAAACAATAAGAATATAATATGTTGACGTGGCTTAACCGTGACCGCACAAATAAAATAGAATGAGAAGGACATCCAAACAGGAGGCAGACAATCTGTCTCCGTCATTAACAGGGCAGCCGCCACAACTCCTACCCAAATGTTGCCACAAAAATATGACAACGTACCATATATTTTGGCAGCCTTAATGGACCTTTTTTCCCCTTTTGTTGATGGGTTTGAGAGAATCTAGATCCTCACCAGATTCTATTTATGATGATTTTAAAGATCCGTGAATCATATTCGTGCATGAAGTCAGATACCCGGCCACATACATACACACATTGTAGGACCCACACTGATGACTTTGTTCATCAGCCGCCGGAGACAAGTCAATGCAATGAGCTTGCCATTTGAAAATTCTTTTCCGCCATGGGAGCCTGTATAATGGACCAACAAACTCATAAGTATGTAATTTTCTATTGAAATGTGGGCAAAAAGTTGATGAAAAAGATTAACCCCTTTGTTTGATGCGGTTGCTAGGTTTGCAGCTTCATTCTTTGTGAATTTTGGGTGCACCCCATAAGGGCAAGAGCAAAAGAGAGTCCAGAAGCCATGGCAGAATTTTCTCTCATCAGAAATGATGTGTATACCGAAGATGGGACTGTGGATTTTCGTGGAAACCCAGCAAAGAGAAATGCAACAGGAACCTGGAAAGCCTGCCCTTTTATTCTAGGTACTTTTTGAAGATCTCTTACTTGCATGCAATGAATTTTAGTCCTGGAAATTGTATCAAAGATTGGGATTTAATTTTATTTCTACTGACACTAATTGTTTTTAATTAATTAATGTTTTTGGGTTTGATTTGTGAGTAGGGACTGAATGCTGTGAGAGGTTGGCAAATTATGGGATAAGCTCAAATCTGGTGATTTATTTCAAGACTCAACTAAACCAGACGAGTGCTGCTGCTACGAAAAATAACTCGAATTGGAGTGGAACTTGCTACCTTACTCCATTGCTTGGAGCTTTTCTGGCTGATGCCTATTTGGGAAGATACAAGACTATTGCCTCGTTCTCAATCATTTATATCATTGTAAGTTCTTTTGCCTTCAAATTCGTACTTGGTTTATTTCAATTTGAGAAAGTCGTTAACCAGTTTGATAACCATTTCGTTTTGAGTTTTTCATTAAAAATATAAAGAAAATATAGGATAATATTGTAACTAGTGAGTACTCTATGTACTTACTTTTTGATTTGGCTTATTTTTTTAAAACAATAAAACATGTGTTAAAATATTATTGGATAAAATAAAAAAGTGAATATTCACTAATGAGTACTCAAATATTATTCGAAAATATATGGAAAAATACAAGAAATAGATGTGAAAACTAAAACTAAATAGTTATCAAGCCTTCACTCCTATTTTGCTTATCCCAATTGATTTTCAAGTGGCCCCCTAAGTCAAATCATAGTTTACCGCAGGCTTACAATCCCTGGTTGCTGTTGGAGTTTGGTTTTGTTGGGTTTGTATCTCCTCCATCAATAGAAACTTACGGATTCTGTGATAATTTTCATAGGGGATGACACTTTTGACAATGTCAGCATCAGTCCCGGGCATGAAACCAACCTGTGTTAGCAAAGATAGTTGCCATGCAAATGGTGGACAAACTGCAGCAATTTTCATAGCGCTTTACCTAATAGCACTGGGGACGGGTGGGATTAAGCCGTGTGTCTCGTCCTATGGTGCAGACCAGTTTGATGATGACGATGAGGTTGAAAAGAAGCACAAGGGTTCTTTCTTCAATTGGTTCTATTTTTCCATCAATGTTGGTGCTTTGATTGCTAGTTCTCTGCTGGTGTGGATACAAGACAACGTGGGTTGGGGATTGGGTTTCGGTATTCCAACAGTGTCAATGGCAATTGCTGTGCTGAGTTTCTTTGCTGGGACTCGGTTGTATAGGAATCAGAAGCCTGGAGGTAGTCCTCTGACGCGCATAATTCAGGTGGTTGTGGCGTCCATTAGAAAATGCAAGGTGAAAGTACCGGAAGACATTTCCCTTTTGTATGAGACTGAAGATGCAGAATCTTCCATCCAAGGAAGCCGCAAGCTTGATCACACAAATGAATTTAGGTTAGTTTTTAAACCGAAAAATCTTCCTCATAAAAGTTAATTTTGCTAAGATGGGATTAAGGCTCAGTTCAGCTGAATAATCAAACTATAAAATTGAGAGGTCTTTTTTCTATAGCATTAGAGCGAATAGTGGTTTTGTAGTTTTACTTTCGTTGTTGTTGCTGTTCTGTTGACTTGAAATTTTACTGCTCAGGTTCTTTGACAAAGCAGCAGTGGAGGTACAAGATGACCATTTAAAGGACTCGAAAAGCCCATGGAGACTCAGTACAGTTACCCAAGTAGAGGAGCTAAAATCAATCATAAGGCTGCTTCCCATATGGGCCACTGGTATCATCTTTGCTGCAGTCTACAATCAGATGAGCAACTTCTTTGTGTTGCAAGGCACCCTCATGGATATTCGTGTCGGCCGCTCTAACTTTGAAATCCCAGCAGCATCTCTTTCCATCTTTGACCCCCTAAGTGTCATTTTTTGGGTCCCAATATACGATCGAATCATTGTCCCAGCAGCTAGAAAATACACCGGTCACAAAAATGGCCTAACTGCACTCCAGAGGATGGGCATTGGCCTCTTCATCTCCATATTCTCCATGGTCTGTGCTGCAGTTTTGGAACTCATCAGACTCCGAAGTGTTCGACAGAACAACTATTACGAATACGAGCACATGCCCATGTCAGTCTTTTGGCAAGTACCTCAGTATTTCCTCATGGGGGCTGCAGAAGTTTTCACATTCATAGGACAGCTGGAGTTTTTCTATGATCAAGCGCCGGACGCCATGAGGAGTTTGTGTTCTGCTCTCGCACTCTCCACCGTTGCACTAGGAAACTACTTCAACTCTATTCTTGTCACCATCGTTACCAAAGCAACTACAAAGAACGGCAACCCTGGATGGATACCGAACAATTTGAACTACGGACACCTGGATTATTTCTTCTCGCTATTGGCAGTGCTGAGTGTTTTCAACCTAGGAGTATACCTCTTCATTTCCAACTGGTACAAGTATAAAAAGACCGTCGGGACTCTGGATTGATATTGAAAAGAATTGATACCATAAGAGGTTGTTTCTGTTCTGTGATGATTTTTAGGTTTTACTTTGGTTTTCAATCGCTTCACTACCAAAAAAAAAAGGGGCTTGCCCTACAAACATTTGCGCGACGGAAGGTATTTCGACGGGTAAATAAACTTTACCCAACGGATAATTCAATTGGTAGGGCGAAGACGGTAAACAGTTAGGGTTTATTTAAAACTTTTACCCGACCGACTGGTCGAAGATATAGTCTCATGTTATGCATGATGTTAATATACATAGAAGTCTCATATTATGCATGATGTTGATATACATAAATCACATAAGAGAATCTCGCCTAATCTTACATCCATTCATCTGGTCATAAATGAAAGGAAAATACTAGAGATATCATGTTTTAGACTATGTTTTCTAGACTACATACATGATGTGACGGATGATAGTTGAATACCTTAATGATTTAAGCAAGAAATCCAATCATCAATTGCCACATTATGTTGTGTACAAAATATGGTTTACGACATTGGTCTCTCAGACTAAGAATCTAAAGGACGAAAAAGGACAAAACAATCAGAAAGAAAATATATCCAGGATGTCCACAACTGGAACCAAGAAGAACAAATTAGCTTCAAACCCTTGGAGTTAGCCTATAAAAATTTCTTAGTATAATATAGTCACACCTGTGGTGCAGTTACTAATTAATTCATCATGTGTTACAATGTGATGGACAACATTGTTGACATGTTACAAAACTAAGATATGGTAATAAATAGATACATATGTTATAACATGAACAAAATGATCAACTTATGATGTTCAACTATTGCATGAGAACGCTCATTTGGAGTGCACCTGCTGATTCCCGGCTTGGATCGATCAGCCACCATCATCACTCGCCGTGGAGTGCAGTTGCTAAACATTCCATGGCTCATGTACAGCGGTCATTGACGGGGCAGCCGCCACAACTCCTACCCAAATGTTGCCACAAAAAATTGATAATGTATACCATATATTTTGGCCGCCTTAATTGACCATTTTTCCCCTTTTGTCGATGGCCGGTTTGAGATGTAAACTTGAAACCTCTTTTAATGTGTGGTGAGAAGAGAACTACTGAGTGTATAGACCATTAATTAGTTTAAGGTTGCCCTAATCCTCAAGTAAAACTATTGTTTAGTGGTATCCTCTCCGCTTATTAGTAAGAAGTTTTAGTTTCACTCATAAATAACGAGTTCTATACCAAATTATTATAGCTGACCAATTGTGTAACTTAACCAAAATCTTCCACCCTTTATGCAAAGATGGGTTAATTCAAGAGTTTGGAAGCTGGTGCTGAAAGAGAAAGGTGGGAGTTAGATAGACAAGCCCTTCCAAAAATATCTTGTAGCTGATAAGTCTTTTTACTTAAAATTTGTTTTTTTCAAATTAAGTTGAGTCTGATCACAGTTACGGCATACGGGGCTCTGAACATCTGAGCCTTTTAGAAGATGGATTTCAAGAAAAGGAGAAATTCTAGGATCCGGCATTTGGACCATATGTCATGTGGATTCTAGACACAAAACTCGCCCTCATGGTCTACCAGCTCTTTGTTTGAGACCCATCACCACTCCATATAATGACCTTGTTCGTCGCAGGAATACCCGTCGGGGATGACTTCCTGGCAAACGAGCACACAGCTCCCCTGGGAGGTTAGCGCCGGTTGAGGGCTGCTGTCGGGCTTCTGCTTTCTTATCGGGCTTAGTCGGGCAAGTCTCGTCGGTCAGGTCTTGCTCGGGTAAGACTCGTCGGGCAGTGCTGAAAGAGAAGGACATAGTTAATTTGAAAGGTGCCTTTGTGGGGCCTTAGGTATAGGCCTTGAGGCTCACAATCAAGATTAACTTTGTAGGTGCTCAGGCGTGCCACTGCCATCTTCAGTATGGCAGATGTCGAATATATGTCAAGTTTTAGTTGTGAATACGCATATGCCCGAGAAACTGTGTTAGATATAACAGGTGCCTTTGTGGGGCATTAGGTGTAGGCCTTGAGGCTTCCTGTCAAACTAAACCAGTACTTGGACATATCATATTTGGTCTTCATGGTTGTGAAAGTCTTGTCACTATTATATTTCTAATTATCCGAGTCCGAGAAGTAGAACGAACCCAAATGGATGCCTTTGTGGGGCCTTAGGTGTAGGCCTTGAGACTTCCCATTAGAGTTTGTTCCTGTGCTCGGACAGTTTAGACCGTGAAGTAGAATGAATCCAAATAGGTGCCTTTGTGGGGGCCTTAGGTGTAGGCCTTGAGGCTTCCTATCAGAATCCATCCATACTTAAGCGTTCTATGATAATCATGACATAATAGAAACAAAACTAAGAGGTAGGTCGATTACTTGCGCCCCAAGTAACTTCAGACTTCTTTTTTATGCCTTGAGGCCAAGGACTTTTAAACTGATCAGATTTACATGCCCGTGGACTTAGGACTTGGATCTGATTTGAACACTGAAGATATATTCAAATCGGATCTAAGTATTGAGGAAGCCTTTTCATCATGATTTTGCTAGAAACCACTTGTTTATAACTGGAAGTATACAACATATTACTAGGCTTTTAAAGAAAGAAAAGACAAAGACAGAGCCAAGAAGGTCGGGCAAGATTAAACCTTATCAGTTAAGGCTGATCTTCTTGCAGGTCCCTATCTTTGCAGCTTTGTCAAATGTCTGAAAGCTTAGAGAGAGAGAGAGAGAGAGAGAAAAAATACAAAAGTGAATCGATACTACAACAAGTTTGAACAAGGTAGCAGAGCTATTACAGAGGTTGGGAGAATGGACTATCCCGAGGGGGATATAAGTTTATCCCGAATGGGATGAAGGCTTGGGCTGACTACAGCTTCGTTTGAAGGCAAATCTAGCTTTGAGCAGAGTTTGGCTTGCATTTGTTTGTTTGTTTGTTTGAGTGTCCTTGTTCCTGTCTCTTCTTCCTCCTTTTATAGACGACTCGGTTTGGCTCCCTGTAGCAACAACTTTGCCCGAATGCGGTCTGAGGGTGATGACTCATCAGTTTTATTACATGTAATGCCACCATAAAGTACTTTTTGGGCTGTGCAGTCTGATCAGTCTACACCACTTGGTCCTTGGGTAGGTAAGCAAGTGGCCCTTTTCCTGCTCCCTAAGTTTCATCCGGACCTTCTGTTGGGCCGACTCCACCTTTGGGCCTAAAGTTCAGTTTTAACCCAACAGTGCCCCATTCAATTAATGTGCAGGTTGGAATCCCAAGCGTCGACATTGATTGAATACCCGTATGCATGCATATCCGCCCTTGGGAATTTGTACTTCCGATGCCCCTTGCTCTTCTCCTGACCTTTGAACTATCCCCGGGGCCCTATAAATTCTAACTTGGAACTTCTCCAATCAAACCATCAAACCCCTTTTGCTTTGGTCTTTACTCCTATCCATCCATCCATCTTGATCGTTCTTATCTCTTCTCAAGAAACTGAGAAATGGGTTTCTCAGGTTTTGAGTGGATATTTCTAAAACTCCCATTTCGCGAGAAAAAGAGGCTTCACCTGATGATTGCTATCTCCAACACCTTTGGTCAATCACCCCTCTATCTCCAACACCCTTGGTCAGGTGGCTTCCTCTTGATGGTTTGTCTTCCCGCAAACTGCGATGATAAATCAAACTTGACCATCACATACATTGATGGCCCTGTCTGAGGATCCCCTACCAGGCCCATGTTGGCCGCACAACCCGATCACCCGATTGGGTTCCATCCATGAAGACATCGGGAAACTAGCTGAAGATACCACCACCTTCAAAGAGAATCGAATGTAATCCATAGGATTTGAATCTTGTAAACTTCACCAATTTGTCGACATGAAATAAATACTGTTTTAGCAATTTCTGTCTTTCTGCCTTCTTTGAATGTTTGATGAACAAAATACCGCATATGAAACTTCTGAGGTCCGCCTCACTCTGCCCCCTCTTCAATGTAGCAGTCCCTAACATCCCATAATGTAGGACAATATTTTTTTAAGAATTTCACATTAATGGGGTGTTTCTGCTCAATACCCTCGAGGTCCGCTAGGTAGTATCATCCTTTAGTCAAAATCCGACTAATAATGAAAGGACCTTCCCATGTCGGGCTCCACTTCCCAAAGCCTCGAAGCTGAGCTCCTAGCGGGAGAATTGTTTTCCACACTAAATCTCCTTCTTTGAAAGATTTGACTCTCACCTTCTTGTTATAAGCTCGGGCAACAGCTATCTTTCCTTCTTGAATTTGGTTCAAGGCTTCAATTCGGGCTGCATCCAAGTCCTCAACACCTTGACACATGGCTTCGATATATTCTGCACTATGTAACCCAAATTGGTTTTGAATTCTTACGGAACTAACGTTGATCTCCATGGGGAGTACTGCATCTTGCCCGAAAGTCAAGGCGTAAGGAGTCGTGCCCGTTCCTGCTCTCTTGGAAGTCCTGTATGCCCATAACGTATTCCCCAGCATCTCGTGCCACTTTTCCGGACTATCTATCACCATCATTTTGATAATGTTGACCAGGATCTTGTTGCTAGCCTCTGCCTGCCCATTTGACTGAGGGTAGTATGGACTGGACTGGATCATCTTTATCTTGTACTTGCTTGCAAACTCCTCGACCTCTTTTGCAATAAAAGATGGCCCACGATCCGTTACTATAGTTTCAGGCACCCCATACCTGTGCAGGATCTTGGTCTCGATAAAATTCTTGACCACTGCTGAAGTTATGGATTTTACTGCTGATGCTTCCACCCACTTGGTGAAGTAATCCGTTGCTACAATTATAAAAGTATGCCCTTTACTAGAGGCTGGATAAATTTGCCCGATGAAGTCCATTGCCCATCCTCGAAACGGCCAGGGTTTGACTACTGGATTTAAAGGCACGGAAGGCACGTGCTGGAGAGGTCCATGCCTCTGACATTCTTCACAACCGTGGGCATAAGACTTGCAATCCTTTTCCATGTCGGGCCAGAAATAACCGTGCCTTCTTAGTAGCCATCTCATCTTTGTCCCTGCTTGATGCTCCACATATCCCCTCATGTACTTCGGCCATTACTCTCATGGATTCTTCTTGGCCTAAGCATTTTAATAGTAATCCATCTGGGGTTTTTCTCAGCAGGTTCTTTGCCCACAAGACATACTTGGTTGCTTGCTGCCTATTCTTCTTACTTGTGGGTGAAGAAGGATCCTTCAAATGACGAATGATAGGTGACCTCCAATCTTCCATCTTGGTCTCTAGAACCATTACATCCAGAC